AGTCCTGCGTCTGGGTTCTACCAATTTTCATACACGTTGTCATCTTTAAGTTAATCGTTTGACTCCAATTAAAACACCTCCTGTTCCAGAGGTAGAGATAGTGATGCCACAGTTTCGAAGTTGTCTGCAAGCAGTACAGTATCATCTGCCAGTCCTACAAAAACTTTGTACAAGGCGTAGCAGTGCCAGCTGTCAAATTTATGTAGTCATTTTGTCCAAGGTTTGCCCGTTACGTGACCCCTCTCGTCATGTGACTTTTCGACTATATGACTATGAATGAGATTTTAGTTATGTTTACTTTAATTTAGTATTAAATGAGTAAACATTTTAGTATTTGATAAATAATCCTTCGCGCGGTTGAGGTTAGTTTTCTCTGCGATTCGAATATAGACTAGGTGATGATTGTAGAGCCGCTGTATTGTTTTATTCGACAAAAGACGACTTAAAAATAAACACATTCTACTCTACGTCAGACGACTGATTGAAATCCTTACGTACAATTCTTGGCTGTAAAAGAGAATCAGTTTGCTTGCTCGTTTTGGCCATGTGTTGTGTTGCTATTCGCTTACCAAAGTTCAGTTAGATATGTAGCTTTACCGGAATGACAAGAAAGTCGAATGAATGGATAGGACTCCAAACAAGAGTCTGCGATGTTATTGCCTATGTGAAGTAGTTAAAGTGGCAATGGACAGGGCACATTAAAACATAGAACGGACCATTGCTGTACCAGAGAAGAATTAGATTGTATTCGAAGTGATAGTGAATGACCGTAAGAAGACCTCCAGACCAATGGCAATGTGTGCTGAAGAAGTTTGCTGGATTAAGATAGACACAAATCGCGTGGAATAGAAATTTCTGGCAAAGTCTTGCATAGGCCTCCATCCAGCAGTGGACGGGAAAAATCTGACAATGATTTCAGTGCATCTTCCTTCCCACGAACCGTTAAAAGGAATTTATGAATTTGCCTATGTAATTATTTAAGACGTTTATTCTAAAACGATGTTCATGTTTAGGGAGCTGACAAGCATGCATTAGTGTGGGATATTCGCACCGGTCAGTGCGTGCAATGTTTTGAAGGCCACGAAGCGGACATCAACACCGTTCGTTTTCATCCCAGTGGCGACGCGTTCGCTTCCGGCTCCGATGACGCTACGGTATGAGCTCCTGATTCAGTTGACACCCGAACCCAATACAATTTTTACGATGCAGTTGCGCCTGTTTGAC